TCTGAAAAACAAAAGAAGTAATTTGTTGATGAGTTGTGATTTTGTTTTTCTTTGGATCTGATAATTAAAAAGAAAATTGGTTTTTTGTTAAATTTGATTTTTTTTTTTTTTTTTTGTAAATACTATCTGGAATAATGACAAGTGTTGTCATTAATTTGGGCAGGTTTATTTTATAGTCCTAAGCTACGCTAACAATCAGCGTAACTTACCATTGGTTACGCTGAATGTTAGTGTAACTGACATAAACAGTTACGCTAACTGTTAGTGAAACTTATTAAAGGTTACACTTGGATGTGTAGCGTAACTTCTGAAGCAGCTAACAGCGCTACACAACAACTAACCAGGTTTTTGGGTAGCGTTAGTTTTCTTTTTGGCAGGAGAACTAACACTACGTTAACAGTTACTTTGTTTTTTAAAAAAAAATTGTAGTGTTAGTTGTCCAGAATCTGCAACTAACAGTAACCTTTGAGTAGCGTAGCTTAAAAAAGCTAACACTACGCTACACTAACGCTACTGTTAGTGTAACCGGCCCACCGTTGTTACAACCCATTACTCATCCCTTACAAACTACTTACCCTAATAACTGGACCTAGCCTATGTCCCATCCCTGTTTAAGAGAAAAGTTTCCCAGTCTTGGTACTTCCTCTGTTCAATTAATGGCTGAGATATGAACACCAGGCCAAAAAAAAGGCACTGTATGCACATTTCCTTCACTTTGGTTCTGGTGAAAGCCACCCAGCCTTAGCACACCCTGCATTCCATTCCCAGTTGAGCCATACTTCCCAATCCATGTTATTTTTTTCCATTCATATTTTCTATATATTCTAGCACAGCCATGATAATACTTGCTCCCCTTGTAAAGTCTTTCATGTGAATTGCTCATATGCTCACAATACCTCTTCCATATGCTTTGGGAATTTTGACCCTAATGGAACATCACAACAGTCTAACCTTGAACTTGAGAGGATCTCCATGAGTATTGTCTTTGATCTTGGGTATTTGGAGGCTCATTTATGTAGTTTTTCCAGAATTTGTCATTCTCAATCAAGTTCACTTGCTTTCCTATGGCTTGATTTCAACATTTGGAATCATGACATTGAATTGCTGACTCAAATGTATTTGGTTAATAATATTGATGGAAACCATATTGAGTGGGTGTTTTGATTAAACTTCTGTCTCTAACATTTGTAGTTTTTTCTGGTTGAGAATCTGGTTGTTGAGTTTGTGGCTGAGGAGTGATTTCTTCCAAAAGTTGATTTTACATCAACACATTGTCATGCTCAGTGTCACTGGAGTCTTATCAATCAGTGTTGCTATTCTCCCATTTATTTTTAGAATCAGCTGGTTTCTTTCTTCTGAGAGGTTCCCAGGATTGACTTCCATATTATGATGCATAATGTTCTTGCTCATCAAGGCTAATTGAGTCAATTTCTTCCATAATTGGCACTTTCTTCAAGAATCTAATGTGTTTTTTTTTTTTGACTAATTTTCTGAAGCAATCTAGGATTCTGTAGGATTGGAACGGGACATTTAAACGAATGAGAGTCACCTCTTCCCCCTTTGAAAGAAATTTCCATCCTTTCTTTCTCCTAAAGCTTAACACTTACTGCTGGTGTGCCTTTGGCTTCGCAAAATTTGGCCGGAATGGCTTAATCATTGAAGATTTTTACCAAAGAGCCACTGTTTAGAATGATTGGGGATTTTGGATCACCATGTTCGATCCATAGTTTCAAAAAAAAACATAAAGTAATTTTATTTTTCCTTTGACGCCTTCCATTGAACTTGAAAATCTCTGCACCATTTGACGCCTTCCATTGAACTTAAAAATCTCTCCACCATTTGGATGCATTTTCTGGGTGAAGATGCCAGAAGTTATTGCTTGAATGATTGGAATCTTGTTTGGGATTGTGGTATGGTATCTGACTTCACATCTCTTTCGGTCATTAGATTGATTTCAAGTCTTCTCATTTGTCTGAGTTTGTGTTAATGAGACTTTGATTTATTATTAAGACCAGAACCAGAGCTAAAATAAAGAAATATCAGAAAAAAATGATGAACAAAGAGAAATGAGGACACAAGAGTAAAAAAAAAAAATGTACCCTTGAATGATAAAAATAATACCAATACAGACAGTTGAGAGTAAGGGAAGACAGGAAGACAAGCAAGGAAATAAGAGACAGATATCAGTTTTGAGACATTGAGAGTTGAAAACAAAGGGGTAAATCATTTTTCACCAAGTAGGTAGCAAGCTTGATGATGGTCTAAAATGAAGGAAGATAAGAAAAGGAAACAAGGGAGGGAGAAAGAAACAGGAAGAAGTTTTTTTCAATATTTTAGGTGGTGGAGATGGATATTTAGATTGAGGGTTGTTGACGACTGAGTTGATGGTTGTGTTGAGTGATTCTGTGTGAGTAATTTGATTTCCGGAAGTGAGAGGATAGAATGAATAGGAATCAGATTGATAATAAAGGATCAAGAAAGTTCTTTGAAATTCTGAGAATTTTCCATCAAGAATTCACAAAAGGTGTCACTAAATTTCAACATGTGTTGATTATCCTTTTGAGAAATAGAGTCCTGCTTCTGCAGTACTGGTCAAGAACTCTTTGATTTCCGCTTTTGATTCATGGTTTTGTTGAGTTAAGTAGTTACAAACAAAGTTAAAATTGAGTTATTTGTCCAAATTCATGATTTATCTTTCCAGCGATGGCATCAAAATTGATGGAAATTTGAAAAGGACCAAGTATGGTAGAATGTCTTGCGGGATTTCTATTCCAAAATCCACCATCTTGATCAAAATGTTGGTGTTTTTCACAAAAATCTCCACAGAGTCTTTCAAGAATTCAACATAGATAACATCATTGAAAATTCTAGCTCTATTGAAACCTTGGGATGAAGCAAATTGTTCTTTAACATGGATTCTGTGTTATCCACTGTGACCAAATTTGTGTTCACGCTGTAAATTCTTTCTATGATTAGCAAGGAAAATTATGCTTCATCAGATTCTCCAAAAGGTACATATAGATTATCGAGTTGCTTCAATACCCCCCATAACTTCAGGAGGGCCATCATTTTTCCCTTCCATATGGAGTAGTTTTCTTCTGTCAGCTTCAGCATAGTCTTGAGTTCTGTTTTCAGCATGGTTTTTCAAAAGCCATTGTTTGGTGGGGTAGCCACCATCATTATGACTTTTCCAATAAAATCACTCCTCTTCCTATGATCTTGCACCAGCTTGTAACATATCCCAATTGAGGAGGATTTGGCTTTTAACTGTAAAAAATATTTGATTAAATGGATTGATTACACTAGCAAGAGCTGAAAATGCTGAAGAATGGAATGGTTGTAGGTGGGTGATTGAATTTGTGTGAGAAGAGCGGTGTGACTGATTGAGTGTTTGAGTATCTTGAGGATTGAGATTTGACAATGGATTGAGCAATTGATGAGTGTTGAGGTAAAAAGAGAAGAATGAAGGACAAACAATATGGGAAGCAGGAAATGTTGAAATATTGAAATCCTCAGTGTATTAAAAATTTATTGGCCTGTGTGAAACTCAATTCTGTGAGCTTATGTATCCAAATGAGATCAATCCATACTTTCAAAAATCAAAACATCAGGCACAGACTTGGTAGCCTAGTTGTTAAAGGCAGTGTTTCTAGCACGATGTCTTAGCTTCTAGCTAATGTTGCTGGTTCAAATCTTGCCGAAGTTACTCTTTCTTGCTAAATTGCTGAAAAATTGATTGTTAATTTTCAACAGGAAAAAGAGGAAAAGAAGAGAATGAGTGAAAAACGGAGAAGAGGGACGTCATAGCAGGAATCACAGAGAGTTCTGTAAAGGACAGATCAGAATGCCAACAGCTGCAGGGCTTGCGGGAGGCAAAATGCTGTGAAGGAAAGCTCAAGCAAACTCATGGCTCCTGCCAAGTAGCTCTCTTGGTGGAGATGCCCTAAAGGCTGGAGTAGAATTGGATCATCACAAAAAAAAAAAGATAATCTGTTTGTATGTATGACTAATTGCTCTTTGAGATACACACAATAGGGGGATTTTCAAGTTGACTGCAAGGGACTTGGCAGTATTTTGGAAAGTTTACTCTGCACAAACAACCAAGCAATGATCAAGCTGCTAAAACTCATGCAAGTGGTGAGAGATGACTTTTGGAAGCTTGAGTGGTTTTTTGTCCAGAGCCATGTGCCAAGATTCAGGCAAAAGCTACATGCACTCCGCCTTGAGTCCAACTAGTGTACCTTAGTCCTCTGGTCAACTGGTCACTCCAGATGCATGATTTGAGGTCAAGTAGTGACAAAAGACCATGTACTGTTATATTACAGAGAAGCTCATAAGATCTAGATACATATACTCTGATACATTATACACACATATTATGATTTCATCTATCAATTGATTCACATGTTGTCATGTTTATCATAAAAAATACATCAATAAGGGTAATGACGCATATGTGCAATTAGAACCAAAGACACAGTGACCAGCTCACAAACATGACAAGGGTTAAAGGGTGCTTCTAAGACAAAATAAAACAAAAAGGACACTGCCAGGTTGGGGTAAGGCAATCACATGTTCTTTATGGATGGAAAAAAACAAGATACCAGAGGACAATCAACACACACAATAAGACAAGGGGCACAGATGTGAAGGGGCAACTAGGCGGAAAGGAGGCTGATATTCGAAAAATCTCTAAGAACAGCTGAAGTATCCACTGGATTGGAAGATACCGGCAGGCTGAAGTAACTGGAGAGAGAGAGAGCAAGATGTATTGAAGAGTGGTACAACAAAGGAATTGCGCTACAAAGGGCGAGGAAGCTGCAAAAATGAATTCAGAGAAGTGCAACCGAAGCCCCCCCCAAAAAAAGGACAGACATATCTTGTTATTGATGCTACTAACGGCGGTGCCGGTTGGTGGACAAGAAATTCTGATGTTTAGCGAGGTTGAAGCGGCATAACCCCCCAGACTTGAGCGAAGTAAAGAAGAAGATGAGCGCAAAGTTGAGCAAACAATACCCGCCAAAAATCTTCAGCGCCGGTAAACTTTCATCAAACTGGCTGTGAAACTTGTCCTTCAAAAAATCGTCCCCCGTTGAATATACACAGTATTCACACCGCTGTGGTCCTGGAGATTCTTGATATCCCTCGAGCACTCTCATCAGATACCCGCTATGCGATCTGATAAACTCTCCAGCGTATTCTTCACAACTTGATTTTTCCAAAACAAAATAAGATACAGATCAGCATGAGCTAGACTTTTTCACGCAGATAAATCAGAGAAACTGAAGACGCGTCAACGCGTCGATCAATCGAAAAAGAAGGATGTCCATTATTCACCTAAGGGATTTGGGTGCCAGGAAATGGACAGATTCTCCCGGCCGACAGTTGACATTTTGGCCATGCAACAGCATAGAGAGCACCGACTTGATGTACCATTGGAACGGTGAAACTACCAAAAAAAAAGGAAAAGCAATGTCATCGGTCGCATGTACTACTTTCAGCCCTGTGTGGTAGGGACGCGCGTAGCTTACCCCAGTACATCCACCTCCAGTAACTCGGCATTTGATCAAACGGTCTACGTGCGTTAATGCGATCACCCAACCCCAGTGAAGACTGTCAGGACAATTTCACACGTGTTTCATTTTGGAAAAAAGAAAAATTGGGGGAGTAAGAAACTTACAGTAAACTCCCGTTGAAGGCTTCCATAGATACCAAGAAGAAGGGTAAGAGATTGGCAACGATACCAATTGTCGGTGCCAACGCAGCAATCCATATCGCCCATGTCATCTATAACGTTCCAATGAAAATAAGGTCAATTCATCTCTGGAGGGATAATCAAGGAAACATCAAATGGAACGAAGATATTGGCATCCTTAACCAGTGCTGAGAGAAACTGGTCATACCTGGAAGAAAAAAAACATCTGCACGGCCAGAAAACCTTTTATTTCCCCATTGTCATTGTAGCAATCACTAGTATTAGGAGAACTGGTTTCCCAAGAGAGAAGAAGGAAAGAAACCTTTAGAAATTGAAGCTCAACTGAAACCAATTGCTTCTAACTCGATTCTGAAGCCAACTGGATTTCAACCAACCCCAGGAAAATTTAGTTAGATGAAAGGGTACAGTAGGAAATGACAAATGGGGAGAAAAGGACTTACGGCTAAAGAACCAAATTGACCAAAATATCAAACCAGACAGTATACTGTAGGGAAGTTCGGCAAGGAAGAAGCCGGTCGCCAAGCTAATTTCGCGATACGAACCAGAGAGCTTCTCACGAGTTTCATAGATGGATTTGAATTGAAACCATTTGGCGATCAATTGATTCATGAAGACCGGGGGCAAGAACAGGATCAGGAAGACGCTGAAAACTTGATTTTGAAGGCCCATCAAGCTCGTCTTTTTACTGTCCATAGATGCCCATGAGACTCCAGCAATCGATGACGATGAGTACGATGCTTGCTGGAAGAAACTTGCCCCGATCAGGATCGAAACCGCGGTCGCAGTAAAAATTTGAGTAAAGCCAAACGAACTATCTCTCCAGAAATGTCTCGAGAATCTCTTGGTTAATTCTTGGATCTCCGTGTAGATCACCCCTCCTCTTTGGTCGCCAAAAATCGTTTGATCTGAGGTAAAAGCCTCTGCATTTAATTCCCCAATTTTCTCTACTGTCGCTTGATGTTCTGCAGTTGAGCGCCAATCTGATGGTGCGGAGCTCCTCGTGGATTCAATTAAATATTCGGCAGGATGTGCGATGAATGGACAAGGTCTTGACGATTGGGCTTCGAAGTGAGCCACTGCCCGATCTCTGGGGCCGAAGTATGCTACATTGCCGCCCTTCTCCAAGAGGAGGAGTCGGTCGAAAATTTCGAAGATTTCCACCGATGGTTGATGAACTGTGACAACGACAGTCATGTTGGAGTGGGAGGCCAGTCTGCGAAGGAGCTGGATAATATGTAATGCTGATTGTGAGTCCATCCCACTGACGGGCTCGTCCAAGCACAAAATTTTGGGTCGCGCAACAAGCTCCACCGCAATGCTGAGCTTCTTGCGGTCCTCAAGGCCCAGTCCCGCACTAGGAGTCCCAATGATCGCATCCTCTAACTCTTTCATCCCGAGCCATCCGATGATCCTGTCCACATCCGCCAGCTTGGCCCATCGGGGGATGGATTTGGGTTGTCTGAGAAGAGCAGACAAGACTAGGGCCTCTCGGACTGTCGAATAGGGGTCTAAGGAAGAACGCTCCCCATATCAGGTGGGAGGATCGGGCGAGATAGGAAAGAGGTCAAGCCTACCGTGACAATCTGCTTGTTGGACATATCCCATCGATCGATAGCTGTTATCGGTCGGCAGTCTGCCATCAATCAATAATTCTCCAGAGATTTGAGCATAATTCGCTCTGCCCGCCAGAGCGTTCAAGAGGGTGGTCTTCCCTGATCCGGATTCTCCCATGCTAGAAACATGTGAGAAAAAAAATACACAGGAGCGGGAGATGCTACCTGGTAAGCGCAGCCGAGATGCACGACAACTTCTAATTTCAAAACTCACAGTGCCGTCAATTCACCTGGTTGGAAGTAGGCAGTGACTTCATTCAAGAGAATCAATGGTTCCATTCGGTCTTTGATGACACATAATTTCAGGTCGCTGAAAGTCAGCACAGCCGAATCAAATTGGGCGGGATCCGACAATTCTTCATCTGCCAAGCAAACCGTGTTGGCATGTTGAATTCTTTCGCTGAGAGTTTGGCGTTCTATTACGACGCCTTCTTCCGTATTATCGTTATCTTGCTGAAGCGTTTTCTTCATCAATCCCAATTTCTTCCTGGCCGCGGCTGAATTTTTGAATAGTCTGGTAGATCCAAACTTGCTGAAACAGAGGTATTCGGTGAAAATTACACTGAGCACTAAGATTACTGCGCTCGACACAATGATCATCGCCAGATTGTACCAGAGATGACGGTACTCGAACCCGTACGATTGAAATATATAGTCATCTCCTGATACTGCGAGTGAATTAGGCCTCGAGCCCAATGTTGCACAGGTTTGGTAGGTGGGATCAGTGTAGGATGATCCACGGGGCACGATGTGTTGAGGAGAACACAGAAGCTCTAAACCGTGGAACTCATTCGAAAGTACCGCCTGTAAAAACTTCACGTTAGCTCTATGAACATTTTCGGAGTTCGTTTGTAAGGAAAATCAATCAATCTAACATCGAATGCATGTGAGATGGGATCCAGGTAATACCGAATCCACTTGAGCTTCGATCCCATGGAAGGAGTGGGAATGAAGTAACCTCCTAAGCTGGATTCAAGCAATAAGCACAGAGGGTGAGCCAGCATTTGGCATCTGAAGTAGTAAAATGGGTACAAGAAGGATGCATACATTACAAAGAGATTCAACATCACTCCACAATACCTCATGGCTTCGTCGAATGAGGAAGACACCGCGGCGAGCATCCTGAACACTGCCGTCAGATTGATTGCTGTGGCATCAACTGGACAGTATATCACTAGTCAGTATTGCAGAGCAAAAAAAAAAAAAAAAAAAAAAAAAAAAAAGGGCGTCATCCTTGTGTGTAAGAGTCAACCAACCGAGCAGAATATAGGTTCCAAAACGAACGGGATCTTTTTGCAATCCGGCAAGTCCATAGGTGATGCTGGCAAACATTAAAACCTGAGCGGTGATCAACGGTATGTCGCCCAGCGTCCGAGC